GTAAATTAAAATATCGTCTTACTAGTTAGATATCTCTGGGCTTGATTTTATGTTATTAAATGTTAAGTTCAAAGAATACTCTTATTCAGTAGAAAGAGTGAAATTCTAATAAAAACATTTGAGGAATGTTGGTGTCATATAAAGAGTTTCTGTTAAAGTAGGAGTTTGGCTTGAAATGAATACAAAGATACTACATTTGAGGGAGAGAAAAGGATACAAAGAATGGACTTGGCCCTAAGATTCCCAGATTCTTGGAAAGAATGGGTTTCCTGAGGTGACAAGAGGTAGGGAAGCAACTGGAGGCTGTCCTGCTTTCATAGTGATGATACCTGAAGATTGGGTGTGTAAGTCTTCTGTTTCTTTCATTGAAGAATGTTCTGTTGACATTTTAATTCTTAGTAAAATTAAATGCAATAAGTGCAAGCCATTTACTGTGTAGAATTTATTTTGGAATTGATTTCACTGTGTCATGACACATGTTAAGCTAATGGAATAGCCTTGTAAGAAATGATAATCAGGATGCAAGAAGAAGGAAAAAAGAAGGGAAATTTTAAAGTTAAATATCTTGCATTTTATAATTTTGTAAGCTGAGAGTGCCTGCAATAAAACAAGACTTCAGGCTTCAATAAATGGATGGTTGGTGGTATATAGTGGTTAATTATAGAAACTGGAGGAGAAATGCACACAGAGAAATTAAACTGAGATACTTATGGAAGATCTTAGTTGATATTTCTTATTGAGAATCTCAATATTTAAGGAAGATTAGTGCTACAGATACATTTGAAATCATCAGCCAATAGGAAGTACCTGAAGCCATGTGAGTAGCTAAGATTCTTCAAGGAAAATGTGTCGAGTGCAGAGGAAAACTCAGAACCCTGAAGAATGCCAGAAAATAAGAAAACACTTGCTTTTTTTCTTTTTTTTTTTTAACCTCTTGGTTCCTTATGGCTACCCTATAAAAGCAGCAATGGAGAGTATTGAAACAATTTCATTGCATGGTAAGATACTTCACATAAATCCTATAGAAGAAAGGAGACCCTATTAAAACATTATGTTATCATCTTGCTTGGAAGTCCTACCATGCTTTTGTTCTTCTGTTTCCATTGGTTCTATCATGTTGTATCTTACCAGATTTTATTATGTGTGATAAATTTTTTATGGAAAATGAGATAATATAGTAGCCATTGTTCATTTTTGGTTATTTGGTTCTGAATGCCCTGTAATACTTTCATTCTCTTGAATGGTTTTATACTATTTTGTTGTGTTTGATGCTATTGTATGTGAAGATATGCTAAACTATTTCAAAGAAAGAGACATTATGGTAGCCACTGTTAATATCAGGTCTTGTGATGAAGTACTGTGTTGCTTACATTGTTCTGTTTTGATCTGTTTTGTTCTGTCCTCTTTTGTCTTAATCTTTTTAAAATAAAAAAAATTTTAAAAATAAAAATAAAGTAAAAAAATAATAAAATAAAACATTATGTCAAAGAAGAAATTCTTTGCCAATCCTAAGGATTGTGGAATGGGAAAGAAATCTTTCTTCCTCTGCCTTTATTTACCAAGAACCCACTCATGGAATCTGAAGGTCTTTCACCAGCCAGCCTGTCCCATAGTGAAATGCAACACAAGCATGTCACATCTTTTTGGAGTCCAGTTCTAAAGAAAAGAGTCCTTCTAGACATAATGATTTTATAATGAAGAGCAAGGCACTCTTTCAAACGGGAATGAGATATGTTGAGAAGGAGTGTGGGATGACTCATGAAACCATTGTCAAGGACCAACAGTGGCCCATTCTCTTAAAGGACTCTCAAGTTGTCAGACAGTGCTGTGCACCCTATTTTAGTTGACTGCTGCTAATTCATCTAGCATTAGCCATTATTAAATCCATTTTCTTAGAAAGGAGTAAGTTTTGCCAGTTCTTTCCTGATTCCCTAGACAAAGCACAGACATGGGAAATATCGTATCTGAACCCTTATGCTAGATTCAGCACTTTTCTCCATAGAGTTAGGTAACCAAGTTCCCAACCGATTTTACCACCTACAGAAAAAGAATACAGTGGAACTGGAAACAGTAATTTTATGCTTGGAACATAAAATCTCCTTTATATCTATGTACAGCTAAAACAGCTTTGGTTGTTCTTCACCCAGAACTGTTTTACCAGTAAAATATATTTGCTCCTGTTCTGACACGTTCCTCTAGTAACTTCTGGCTGCAGTTGTCCTGAGTGCTGGGAGGACATTCTGGTACCTGTGTCTCATGGTGTACTAACTAGAACCAGATCCAAAGCTCAAAGATAAGTTTGAGTTAGAGGCAGCATTTTGGAGGAAATCACTTGTGTGTCGATTAAGAGCATGACATTGACTGCGATGCCCTACAGAGGGCTTCCATTTGAGAAAGCATGGGTTTCAGAGTGTTTCCTAGCAGATTACCCCTGAAGAGGGAAATGGGGCGGGCGGGCGCGGGGGGAGGGTGGCATTTTCCAGAAGACCATGTCTTTCTTGGCTCACTGTTCTGTAGCAGAGAGAATTTAAAATAAGAGAAGTGGTCAACCAAGTCTACCACAGATGAGGGAGCTAGTGAGGTTTCTTTATTTGTTACTGAAGAGCTCATCTCGCTGAGCATCATCTCAGCTGTCAAGTAAATATCAGAAACACTGTCCTGTTACTTATTCCATGCTAGAACCAGATGCAAGGGTGGCAGCCAATGTTGTCTGTAAGGTAGCTGACAGAGAAGAAAAGCAAGTCTTTCACTGGTGAGTAGTTGGCTAAAAGCTTCTTAGCTCCTTCAGCAATCTCTTGTTGCTACCCTGCTTATCTCAGGGCAGCCCAGCTGTGAATCACTGGCAGTAAGGCTTCAGTGGCAGGATTTCTCCTACTTTAGGGTCTTCTCTTAAGTAGATGTGCCAAACCTTAGCGCTGCATGCAGTGATTATTATGTATGGCATTTTAGAGGTCCTTACGTACTTATATACTTTCTTGTTCATACTCACCAAGGCAGCAGTGTGCAGATAACCTATACTCATCTGCTTACCATTTCCCATGGCTATTTGAGTTTTAATTCAAACCAAACATTAATGTAAGAAGTTTTGGTAATAACCCATGAACTTCATTTTTTTTTTAAAGGTAGTGTAGTTCTCTTCCTGTAGTGTAACCATAGCAACTGACAAAGGACAGAGAAAGAAAGCTTTCACACATGCTGTGCTAATTAATCCTGTCCTACAGGTTTCTTTCAGCAGGAGGATACAGTTTAATAAATTTTGCATGAGTAAGGGTGTTTTGATGCATGAACTGTATAAATACATACTATTATCTTTACTAAAAATATTTGGGGAAAATGTAGTTGTATGTCTATATCTCTTGTCTTTTTCCCCATCTTTGAGCCATTGTTTTAATAATTTGCTCCCTCCCTGAAATATTTGGGACTTATTAACAAGACAGAAACAGCTTTAGGGTGAAAAGCTTTTGTTCATCAGTATATAAGAACTTTCCACAAAAATTGCTTTATTTGGCTAACTATATAAATGTGAAATGATGTGGTTTTTCCTCAAGTGACACAGAAGGCTGTTTCTAAAAAATATAACGACATTCTTCACTCTCTATGACACGTTTACATGCAAACCATTTTAAGAAACTCAATCCTAATAGTTCAAAAAATTAGATAATAAAAAGGCATCTTCACTATTCTTTTGGGGAGTTATGTGGCCCCTCTGAATGAAACTAGGATATTTTTTGACCTCAGCTTGTGGCAGAAAGAAAACAATACAGACCAGGTACTTAACTATTTATGTTTCCCAAAAATATTTAACCAATTTAGCAAACTCATATTTGATCTGAAATTAAATGTAATATTTTGATTTACACTGTTTCTGAGGTATTTTGAGGTCTTGTTTTCTCTTTACAACTGGAAGTTCCACAATTTTTTAATAACTAGCCCGGTCATCTCAGCTGTCAAAGAAAACCTCATAGTTTTTCATAGTCTTATCCCTATGGCCTAACTTTCTGACAGCAGGGCTTCACGAAAACCAGAAGAACCCAGCCAGAATGTGTTTTGCATCCCACTTGATACAGCACAGGACATGAGCCAGAACCTGTTGGAGGCCTTGCGCTTAGCTCTTTGGGTTCTGTATGGTAGCAGAGTCAGATAAGTAACTAACTCTTTTGCTGAGATTATCAGATTTGGACACACTTTCCCATCCCTATTATTTTATCTGTTGTTTAGTTTTGCTTGAATTGAGGTAAGATAAAACCTTACAAAGTAAAAGACTATTATGGAACTCTGTTCCGGAAAATATTCTCTTCATGTGCATGTACCCATGAATATGTTTGTATGTGTATAATCTGTGCATTTTGATGTGTTTATAAACACACACCAAATGTAACATGCTATCACATTATTCTAAAACCCGCATTGTTGAAAAATTTGAGTGACTATTAATTTTGGTCTCACCAGCTGTCCTTTAAGTTTTTTTTTTTTTGTGTGTCTTTTTCCTTTTTATCGGTACTGGGGATTGAACTCACAACTGCCTGCTTGCAAGGCAGGCGCTTATGCCGCTGAGCTAAATTCCCCAGCCCCTGTCCTTTAAGTTTTACATGTAATTAGAAACTGTGACATTGTATTTACTAAACAGGAGAAGTCATGTTCCTAAATACTACATAAAAATTTAAGTAAGTATGTGATGGTAAGCTTACTGTAAAAAACTCTCAGAACTAGAGTTCTAGGTAACCTACCATGAAAAATCCAGAAGATTTCTCATCTTTCCTGTGATAGCCAACAGTTTGTGAAGTATTTATTTACTCTGCTATTTTATTAGATTTATGACACCATTGCTTTATTTGAGGAGGCTTCAAAACACAGAACAATATGTTCAACATGTGTGTTAATCTTGACATATCATGACTGCATTACAATGATGTTTAGCCTTTTAAAATTGCAAATATCCAGATTTGAAACTGGTTCTGTTATTACCTGTTAAACTTCTTTATATTTCATGTAACCCACAGGTCTTGCAAGAGCAAAATCTGTCCCCAGCCACACATATTCCAACGAAGTGGTTACCTTGTGGTACCGGCCTCCAGATGTGCTCCTGGGCTCCACGGAATACTCTACCTGCCTTGACATGTGGTGAGAAATGGGAGCTTTCAGGCGAGCTAATCTGAGTGCGGGTGTGGTCCAGGTCATCCCTGAACAGACATCCTCACTGGAGAATGAAGATCAGTGGTGCGGGAGATTCCCTATGTGCGGATTTTTCAAAACATGACTGGGAGAATTCCCCAATCACTGGGCCCCTGTAGATGGTGTCTGGGAATGGCTCTCGATGGACAGGGATAGAGACATTCTTCTACCTGTCTGTTACTATGGTTTTCTCCCTTAGGGTCCTCATTTGTGGCTTTATTTTACAGCAATGAGTTCTACATCTCCAAATAGCATTAGAGTTAGCATTAATGGAGAGCATGTTTTTAAATTCACAATAAAGCTCAGATAAGTGGACTGAAAATTTTGATATAACTTTTAAGCCCCAAATTAGGTCACAGTATACCCCTTAACAACTCCTGATAGCAGTGATCCAAAATGAAATAAAATGATTACTTTAAAAGTGTTGTACACTTAATTTCAGTAGAATCTCAGTTTTATGTAGTGGTTAAACAGAGTTTAAAAAAATCTATTTGATGAGTTCCAAAGATCCAACAATATTTAATATGTAATAACTATAAATGGTAAAACTACTCTTTGTTTCCAATCAAGTATAATTTAAATATAATAACTGTAAGAGAATAATCCTGTTTTTAGCACCGAGGAGAGGCTTACTAGTGTCTGTCCATCCTGTCTTTTATTCAGAGAGAGGTCCTTTTTCTAGACTCACAATTGTATTCTAAGTAAAATAATCCACTTAGCTATTCTATTTTAATAGTAATCTTCCCTAAATAATTTGCCCCCATATCATTTGGCTACATGTTCATAATCATGAGATCATAAGCATGAGATTGTGGCCTCAGTGAAACTTCAGCACATGTTTATCTTACTGCTATGAACTTAATGTATTGCCTTCACCCTGGTAGTCTTGGCTATTAGTAATAAAGTTGTGATAAGGCCTGGCTTCTTCCCATAACTGTTTGGTCCAACTATTTTAAGGAAGGATAAAGATCAGGTTCCTGGCAATGTAGGGCACAGAAGAGATTTTTCTTAATTTAGGTTCCAGCAATGCTCCTAAGAATGAAATTTAAGAATCTATATAGCCAGTGAAAATCTATGTACTATTTTATGTACACATAGATATATTTATTTTTGTAAGACGTAGATTAGTAGCTTTCAATAAAGGTGTAAAGGAATCTAGGTCATCAAACATCTTCAGATCAGTTCTCATAAATTTTGTAATGCCTTATAAATAAATTCAGTACCACTGAAATGCTGAAAATAAAGATGACTATTTACCATTCAATGGTTGAACTAATCTATTTTCTTCATCATAGTTCTTGCTTTTTTCTAGTGGTTGTTTACAAAGTTAAATGTTTTTTCTCCAAAGTAGGTTCTTAGGCTGTAATAGATACAGCAAGTCCCTGAATGAATATTCAGGTTGTAAACTTTCACAAGTGGATTGTATAAGACTCCCTTTGTTGGCTTACAGATGAATCTGACCTAGGAAATATTCTCCTGGAAAGAACGTTGTTTGTAAGTCAGGGGCTTCCTGTATTTGGGTCAGGTCTTGGGCAAAGCAGATATTTGGATCAGTGGTTGCAGTAGAGGAAAAGGTTGGAAACAAAGGCCAGTGCAGACATCAGGATATCCATTACTAACGTCCTCATTCATTTCACGCTTTCTGCTTTTACTGGAGAGTTAATTCTACAACTAATCATTTTTTTTTTTGAAATTCTAAAGTGGTGCAATGTTTTTTTCAGCTTTTTTATTAAGGAAATCCTAGGTTGTCTTTCAACAAGCTCAGTTTAAGGACTCTGCCAAGATAGCCTAGATTGGAAGCATTTGTGTTTTGGAGCCAGTTTTGTTAGTTGCTTGGCTGTTCGGTTAGGACTGTACACTCATAGTCAGGAGAAACTGTTTTTAATACATTGGAGGCTAATTTTGCTTGCACTTTTAAAGCTGCTCTGTAATGTACAAAGAACTACCTGGGTGGACTCTGACTTGCTAATATATTTGTTTCTGATATGTGTTTTCTAGTCTCTTTTTTCTTTCCATGTGTGTGTTTTCATGTTTTAGAAAGATAATGTGGCACTTCCTGCAAATTCACTTTGAACAGAGATAAATGGAAATCCAAGAAGTCTTTTATTTAAGAGGAAGACAGGAAAACTAATAGAAAATAGTAGACCCCAAATACCTTTTTGTCCATATGCCAGTATTATTCATTGCCAAAAACCAACAATAAATGTGTTAGATGTGAGAAACTTCCCCTGCTGATTTTCTCTTTACTTCTAAGCCCTAAAATCTGAGTTATGGCTATGCTATGCCTGTTGTCCTGAACCTGATTCATTCCAAGCCATTTTCTAAAAGCTATTTTGTTATTATGCTATAAGTCAAGTAAAACATATATGTTTTCTAGTTAGAGAGAAATTCACAAGGCAGTGATTTTTGTATAATCAATGACACTGATGCTGATATTCAGACCCCTAGAAATGGGACTGTAATCAAATCACGGTTCAGCTGCACCAAAGAGAAGTATAAATATTATTAACCCATAGACAATAACAGGGAGGCAGGTGGCAGTAGTTTTAGGCTATTTCTACAGTTCATTTAACATCGAGGGCAGTAGGGTATTAACTAAAAACTAGCGATCCCTATACAGTGTTACATTTTCCAGTTTTATGTTTAAATAGCCACAGGCAATGAAAATATTAATGAAGACACAGAGGCATTAACATTGTCAGCAAGTGATGAAAATCAGAGACAGACTATTATGATTCAGTCCTCTAGGTCTCCAACCGTTTGGGTATATATGAAAACATCGTGGGACTTGAGAAATCATCAAGAAAGATTGCTTTTTGAAATCTTTGTCTCCTTCTATAAAGAAGGCTCCAAGCAGAAGACTCATATTGAACATTACCTCTTGTATAACTTCTCTTAATTCTTGGATTTTATAGTCAGAGCATCGGAAATCATTGCTAAGCTTCTAAACCAAAACGGCTTACCGGATTCTGAAAATCACATTAGGAGAAGTTCAGATGTGAAAGCAGCTTCTCAGTGCAGCTCTGTGCTTGCCAGGAAGGGCTACTCTAGCTGAGGATGTTGAGATCATTGATCCAAAAAGCTTCATGTTCCTGATAGAAGCTTGTAAATATGTTTAGGGCTGCCTTTGTTTCCTAAACCTGGCAGTGCTTGGGATTACTTTAAGGGATTACTTTTAAATATCAGATGACTAAATTATCTTTAACTAAGAAGTGATTATCTCAACATCCTGGTGCTTTTAGGTTTCAAATATAGTGACCCCCAACACCATATGCAAAGAATGATAGCATGCCAGGGTCTCTCCCTTTCATCGTCTTTTTAAGAGGTAATTAACATATTAACTATGCTTGTCAAAATGTGGGGCAAATCATTTATAAATAAGCCTGTCAAATGTAATGAGATTGCATATTAAATCACTCGTTCCTCTATTACATCTCATTTAAGATTAAAATTAATTTATTTAACATTGTAGCAGCTGGGCGGTTAGGAAAAATTTTCCATTCTAATCTTGATATATAGAGAACAGTCTGTAGTGAAATTTCATTTTGCATGTATCAGAAGAGATTGCCTATTTATTAAGTATTGTAAAGCCATTTAGCATTGCATTTTATTAAATAAGCCAAATCACCAAAACAATCTGCCAGTAAACAAAGTTCTGCCATCATCTTTAATGATCTCTCTTGAAACAGGAAATTTTCCTAGGACTCAGGTTTATTTGCTGGTGACTCAGGAAAGTCTTAAGTGAACTTTGGTATAGCCCCATGTTTGAAAATAAGTTTGTCTCTCTCTCTTTTTTTTTTTTTATTAGTACTGGGGATCAAACTCTTGACCGCCTGCTTGCAAAGCAGGTGCTTATGCCGCTGAGCTAAATCTCCAGCCCTTAAATAAACTTGCCTAATTTGAGGTCCCGTGGTTAAATTTGCAACTCAAGTAATAATAATATAGGTATAGGTACTTCTATTGAATGAAAACTGTATTCTAATCCCTGTTTTAATTGCTTATGTACTGAGCTATGGTAAAAGAAAGCAAATAGTAGAAAGATTGAGTAGTATTGTTAAGAATGTGCAGGCAACAAATTGAGCCAACATCTAGACTCAAAGCCAACCTACTCAAGTTCCTCACCCTTTACAACATAGTGCATAATTTCTTACGGTGATTTTTAAGGAATCAGTCTTTATTTTGCTACTAAAGAGACTATAAAACACAAATTCATTTAAATTTGCATTCTAGTTACTCTCAAGCCTGTTAGATCTTCAGCACATCTAGAAAGCGAGAAGCTTTCACTCATTCTCAGTGGCCGGTGAACAACTTTCCTGTTCTAACATCAGTCTTCTAATAGAGTCTATGCCAAGGAATTTTTCGAAATAAACGAAGACCTGAAGCCTTGGGTTGAAGGCAGTGTCTAGCTCACATACATTTTTACAGCTTCTGTCCATTACTTATTTACCTCTTCTGCTAAAATGAAAGAGTCGATTTTCAAAAGAATCCAGAAAGAATGAGAGTCCAGGTTCATGAGCTATGTAAAGTCACCTCTCTATCATCACTGTTTGTACAATCTCTAATTCGTCAAGTCATGTGACCAAAGAGGACAAGACTTAGACTTTGTCAAATATCACAACTTGTTAAGAACTCTTGAAAGCTGCCAAAGAATTTATGATCCAAGAGAATTGATGTAGTGCAGTGGAACGTAACAAGAGAGCTAAGTATGGCCTGAAAGACTTCTGAGTGTTTGAAAGCAGAGCTCATGGTGGCAGTCGTGGTTTCTGAGCCCCCTCTCACTACCACGGTCCCTTCGATTTAGTGTCACCATATAGCTTATCCTCCTAGGAAGACATTTGTAGAGTTTCTTAATACTTGAGGAATTTGTGTCGTATGTGTATTAAACAAGAATTTAATTGTGACTTGTAGTTGTCTCATAATACATAAAAGCAATAATTTTTCTAAACACT